CGGTAAGGTAACAAAAAAGCTGGGAGGATGAATGCTCTTACTGCATTCATATCTTGAATTATCTGACTGGAGCTTCAATTTTAGGAGAGCAACAGTTGGAACAGGAAGCAACTCCATGCAAATGTGCCAAAGCACCGGGCTAAGTATGAATTACACAAAGATGATTAAAGAACCTGTGGGCTCTTAAGTATGCGTCCCTGCAGGGCTCCTTTCAAGCCCTCTTAGCTGAAAGGAATCGTGTGTGGCATTTGCAGACAGAGAAACAAACCCAGGCCAAGGTAGAGGAATTAGCAGTGAAATACTGAATTCAGAGAAATTAACCAAAAGAAAATGCAGAAGGCAGCTGACAGCCTGAGAAAGCTGCAGGCTGTGAGCAGGTGTAGTGAGAGTGAAATTCCACGTACAGTGGGTAAAAAAGGAGAAACGAAAAGACAAAGAAAAGGGGGGGGGGGAAATACAGATGAACACATCAAAAGCAAGGCTCAGAATAAGGCTCAATATAGAAATAGAAAGGCACAAGCTTCAAAGTGAAGTTTAAAGGTTACTTGGCAAGGGAAAGGAGTCAACAGAAAGTCCAAAGCAGTGAGAGAAATAATTCTGGTTGCTTCACCGTGCCAGAGAACGCACCTTGATTACAGCTTAGGCAGGAGATCATCAGAACATGAAGAGTCCTAACAGTTATGGCAGAACGGGAATCAGTTTGAAGGAATCAAGAAAACAAACATAAAATCCAGCACCCCACAAAGCAGCGCTGCACAAAAGCACACAGCTGAGTTCTTTCTTTCCTCTTCATCAGTCTCCCCCAGTTTCCAACCTGGCATTCCAGTTCAGGTTAGTTTTCTTCTCAGAGGATACAGCAAAGCTGTGCTGTGTGTCTGCACACCTGGTGCCTCCTTTGGAATGTGCAAGATCTCAATCTGCGTGTTGAGGCACTGTCTGCAGAGCTGTTCTGACCTCATTCCACATTCTCTGCTCTGTCCTCAGTGAGGACAGCTCTGCTCCTGTAACGTGGGACACTTTGCTGGGGAAATTCTCTGCCCCGGCTCCACGTCCCCACAGCCACCATAAGCAACATCGCTCAACTCCTCCGTGTTACATCAAAACGTTGCTGAGGGAAGGAAACAACTTCTAGACCTTCTCTTCAGGACTTCTGAAAGAAATTCCCTCTCCGCTGAGAGAAGGGAGAAAAAAAATAAATGACAAAAGACAGTAAAGAAGAACCTGAGCTCTTCTGGGACTTTCTAGATCACAGTTTTTTGTAATACTTCCTGCACTTTGAAAAATTCTCGGAATGGGGAACTATTTTGTAGCAGGATGTCTCTGCCCTCGCTGCCTTAATGCTGAATGCCTCTTCTGGGTGGATTTAACTTTGATCATTGCCCTTTGATAACCTCATTTTCATAGAGCTTGTCAGGTCTTCAGCTCCTCTTTTCAGTTTAGACGGGCCCTACTTTGGCCAAACCACGTGCAGAAGAAGCACTGGGAGTGCAGCAAAAGTCGCCTGCCCTGAGCTGCTTTGTTCTGTTCAGCCATCACCTTTGTTCAATCCCTCCCTGTTTTGCAGCCACACAAGTCTCATACTGTGTTATCAGAAGCAAGCAGAAGTCCAGAAATCTAAACAACTTAATTGCTCATCTTCCAGTAACACAAACTAGATCGGAGATGATTCATGCTGTCCATGGGAGAAATCAGGGAGAACCTTTCAGCAGCAAACTGGGAGGATGAGGCAGTTTGAAACCATATCCTATCACCCTCACCCATGCAAAGGAGTCTGTAGGATTTCTGATCTGTGTGACTTAGCCACCCGCTCTGACAGGATGGATAAAGGGGCTTTCAGCAGCCTAATCAAGGCTGTGTTCCTATTCCATAACAGCTCAGTTTACTCTCCATTGTTTTAGGCAAGCGCCAAACAAGTGGACAAGTGCCAAACTTCCAGCGTGCGTGCCAAGAAAGAGTGAAAAAAAGGCTAAATAGGAGATCTCATCCCTAATGCCCCCACCACTGCTTCAGCAATGAATGACCTACTTGGACTTCTGAATGCCTTTCAAAGTTGTCACGCTGCTTTCTGTCCTCCCATTTACCTGGCCACTCAACACAGCAGCCAGAGCAGAAACAGAGAGGGGAAAACGTGAAGCAGGCGAGGATTTCAGCAGCGCAGCGGGAGCCTGCAGCCCACGAGCCTCTTCTGTGCACAGCAGAACCAAGGGAGCTTGCTTTCTGCAGCTTTCCACCTTCAGGTTCAGTCCCATGCACACACTGCTGGCATCTAACATGAGCAGTTATCACTGTTTCTTCTTTCAGTGCAAAGGCCTTCCTCTTCTTTATACACACACACAGGTTTCAAAACCAAAAGAAACTACTCAAACCCTTCCATGTAATGTTTTGAAGATTAATACCCCTGTCAAATTGGGGTGGAATCGGATTATCTGCTGTTTGTTTGTTTTCCAGGGATGAGATACAAGCTTTGCAATCAGCATTTCTTAGGGAACTGTGGAGAAAACTTTGTAACCTTGTTCCACAGGAGCTGTTTGAGCGCCTCAAGCACACAAATCTCAATACATCAGTACCCATACAATACAAATTTTATGGGCACATGGCATGAGCAACCAAACGTCAACAAGCTTAAGTTCCACGTAGCCAAGATTGCAGTTCATTAGAAAGAAGCCAATAAAACAGCTGCACAGCTGTGAAATAACACTGTGCTGACGTGCAGCTGTACAGGAACTCCAAACCAGAACATCTGTAGATATCTAAATCCCCACTACATGAAAACAAAAACGTATCCTGCCGTAATCAGGAGCTGCAGGGTATTAAAAATGGTTTTCCTCCTACAGCCACATACAAAAGCATGGATTTGTCACACGTGCCTTTCAGAATGTATTTAAACACGTACGAGTGATGTTTCATGATAAAAGGTGTATGATCAGGACTGCTGGCTCCACACAGCTCAGGAGAAGTGAGCTGGTCCTTTCCACCCTCCGCAGATGTGCTCATTACAGATGGCTTAAAAAATAAAGAGAAAAAGGCCTCAGAGACCACCTGGGTGAGGAGAAGCGACCACACTGCTGGATAAGGAACACATCCAGTTACAGCTTCCCTCATTTTCATTTGAGGTGGGGGGAAAAACAAACAACAGCAACACTGTGTCTGCTTTCCTATCATCTTTTGTCACCTGGCGTTCAATGACAGAGCATAAACATTTTATTTTGAAGAAAAGTTGGAAGAAAGCCACTGCTTTCTGTATCAGAGGGGAAATGCGTCCACTGGGAAAACCTGGCCTTTTTCCTTAAAAAAAGCCACTCGCACCTCCTTGATTCTCTTTTGTTTTCTCTGTTTCTCCTCCTCCTCCACCCTCAAATTTCACAGGGAAGTAAAACAAACAAACAAAATGGCCTTGCTCAATCAGCAGTAGCCTTCAGAAGTCTCTTTAAATAGCCTTGATACAACTAAGACACAAGTTAAAGCACACAGTACGCGTGTGTTTGATCATGGCTACAGTATTGCACTACCTGCCACTCGTTCGCATCAGCTGCTGTGCTTCTAAACAGGCAGCAGAGGTTCTAAGTGACAAAGGAAGCTCTCAGCCATCCATCAGACCTACACAATTAGGTCTGCAGAGCAAAGATAGAAAAGACTCCTCCTGCAGACGTGAAACTTCTCTAACACACGGCCTGAAACAGCACGACAACATTCAGCACTGTGGAAGAACCACCATCTCATCACACAAGCAAATCAAACTGCACGTTCACTTTCTTCTCACTAATTGCAAACCACAGACTTCATTCCAACATCTCCATAAGGTTCCGCTGACGGAGAATACTTCAAAGCTTCTGTTTTGAATGGAAAAGCCAAAATGACAAATCATGCCTCCCAGCCATAAGTTCTCTACAGAAAGCTGAGCATACGTGAACAGTGACAAACCAGGCAGTGCTGGTCTTCGTGCCCAGCACTGACTGCATGGCAGAGAAGAGGACTTGAGGCACTTCGAGCCATGGTTGATCCCAGCACTCAGTGAAGCAGGCACAGGGAGCGCAGGATGCACGCAGCAAGCAGAGGGCACACAGAAACGGACAGCAGCACGTAAAGACCGGGGGTTACGAGCTAAAGATTGAGTTACGCTCACCACAGAGAGCTCCTTTGTCGGGACAATACCTGAAAGCGGCCAGCGCTCCGTGCCGGCAGGGCGCGTCGAGGCCGCGCTTTCCTCCCGCTTCGAGCTCCTCGCGGGGCCGCAACGCCGCCGGTCGGTGCGAAGGGACCGAAATTCAGCTCAGCTCCGGGGCCCTGCGAAGGAACGGCCCGCAATCGGCGGCGATGAGCGCGGCGCGGCCCCGCGGAAAGCGGGGAAAAGCGGCGGAGCGGAGCGGCGCGGTGCAGCCGCACTTCCTGCGCACCGCCGGGCAGGAAACCGGGCCGGAGGCTGCGAGCGGCTCCGAAACACCGCAGCTCCGTCCGCTTCCCCTCCTCGCAAACCCCCCGCTTTAAGCGATTCGCCCCCCGGCCCGCAGCCCGCTGCCCCCCCTCCCCAGCCCCGCATTTCGGAGCCGCTCCCGCCGCCCTTCAGCCGGCGCCGCCCCGACGAACGGCCAGCCCCGCGGTGACAGCGGCCGCCTCCCGCCCTCCTTCCTTACCCGCGGCCACGAGGTAAAACGGCCGCGAAACGTCGCCCCGAAAGCCCCGCTCCCCACCCCGCCTGCCGCGGGCCGCCCCTTCAGAGCCCCGCGGCGACGAACGGACGAACGGAAGCGCCGCACGGCCGCGCCGCTCCCCGCTCACCTCACGCGCCGCCGGCGGCCGCTGCTCCCGGGGCGGCGAACCCGCGAACCGGCCGCACCCCGCCGCGCGCATGCGCAACGCGCAAGCGCAACGATACGCCGGCGGGTCCGCAAGGGGGCGCTCGATACGAGATGAGGACGCTCTGGCTGAGCGGCGTCGTCTCGATGGCTCCAGGGATGGAGAAAGGGGGAGGGGGGGGAGGAGGAGGGAAACAGCCCTCGATCTCAGTGGTGTCGCGGCGCGGCTCCGCTTTGTGCTTTTATTTCTCGTCCCTTGTGACCGCTACGGGCTGCTCAGGGCTCCGTCTGCTCCTGCAGAGCTCTCGCCAAAGCGCCTCTGCAGCGCCGCGCTGTTGGCTGCTTCCGTCTCTTCGTCCTCCTCCTCTGACCAGCTCAGGCTGTCATCCGAGTCCTCCTCGGGCTCCTCCGTGCTCGCTGCCGCCTTCTCCGGCTCGTCCTGAGCGCAGGCCTTGCTCTGGGGATGCTCCAGCCTGGCCCAGGCCCCGGGGCTGGCCTTACGCAGCGTGATCTCCACCTTGGAGGGGACCATGCTCACAAAGCTCTTCTCTGTTTCGACGACCTGGAGAGAGGGCAGAGTGTGGGGAGACGAGGGCTGGCAGCACTCAGCTGTCCGTCCTCCCTTCACGGCGTGAGCCCTGCAACTGCAGCAAAGGGGAGAGCAGGCAGAGCAGGAGCAGAGCCAGCGTCTGGCCGTGCCATACCTCAACGGTGTGGGTGCCAGGCTCCCTCACAGCCCTCTGCTGTGAGACACTGGCAGCACTGCAGCCAGCAGGACAACTGCTGCAACAACGGCAGCGAGCAGCAGGAACAAAAGCAAGGAGGGTACATGCACACTGCTGAGCCTCTCTGCTCCTCTGCAGCCAGGAAGAGGCTGAGGGATTGGAAAGTGAGGCTTGCCCTTTGCCTGGCTTCAGAAAACATAGGGACTGAGCCAGATTCAGGGAGAAGCAAATCCAGAATGCCTGCAGAGCCAGCGGCAATGCTCAGCCCTGCGCTCAGTCATGGATCGGGTGGTGCAAACACCAGCAAAGCGCTGCTCACAGCCCCTAGCAGAGCTGGCTACAAATGCCCATACCTGGACATCCTGGCTCCTAGGCAGTGTCAGCAATGAGCCAGCTCTGAGGCAGTGTTGAAAAGAGCAGCCACGGTGCTTTGGGTAGTGCAGAGCAGCCAGGTGCAGCCCTGACATGGCTCATGGGGATTGCTACCCGTACAGGATCAATAGAGAAAAGCATAATTTCCCCATCAGCCTTTGCTGCTATAGAAAATTGCAGCTCTGAAGATAAGCGAATCCTCTCTGCTGCAACAGCAGCGATGGATCTGTGTTCTCTGCAGGGCTTCAGGAGCTGGCAGCAAATAACACCAAGGGAGGGACTGTGAAATGGCTGTTTGTTCCACAGATACGCCAGCCTGCGCTCGGCAAACAGCAGAGTCCCACGGGTCGCAGTGTTTCTGCATGATAATGCAATTAAAGTCTTCCTCATGCTGCATGCACAGGAAGGACTGTGAAGAATTTGTAGCAGCAACCATTTTGCTGCTTTTTCAGAAGTCTGAGACGACAGAGGGAATAATTTTCTTTACTGAGAGCCTGTGTTTGGGGCTGCAAATCTTCTCCAGCAGCACAGACTGCAGATTTCTGAATGGGGAAATCAAAGTAAACAGGATCTTACCCCCCAGAGATCAAGTTCTGCCTGGAAAATCTTATTCCCTTCGAAGATGACGTGAGCTTCAAGCTGAAAGATCAACAAAAAATCATCTTAGTGGGCAGCATAGCAACTTCAGAGCTGTTCCCCGGACAGTGCAGCTGCCTTCCAGCACCGTAATGCCTCCCACAACCCAGCTGCAGCCTAACAGTCTGCTGATCCCTTCAACAGCTGACTCTCACCCCCATCCCTATGGCGTGGATCCACCCCTGCCACCAACCCAAGGAGCGCTGGGAGCGCCGACCCCAGCTGTCGACCAAACAGGGATTGAAAAGCACCAGCAACCCACCCAGCTCTTGGCTCATCAGCATGGGTGCCATGAAAGGCAGGGCACGCTGTGTGCCCCAGCCGGCTCTCTCAGCCCCACTCACCACAGTGCGGTTGGCCTTCACGCTGCTGAGGGTGGGCAGAGGGTTCTTGCCGTAGATTGTCACCACCACTTGGCTGCTGGTTTGGTGCCAGTCCTGCCTGCATGATACTGCCTTCTTATCCTGCCAGGGAGAGAAGCTGATGGTGCAATAGACAGCAGAGGGGATGTTTGTGCTGAAGGATGCTCTGTCAGTGACTGTTTCGCAGAGTGCTGGCTGAGGGCGGTGTCAGAGCACGAGCAAACCGTGCATCTGGGGCATGTTTTCAATGGGAGGTGGTTCATGAGAGGGTGGGCAGCCACTGCCAGACTGCACTGTGAACATGAAGCATCTGTGATGTGCTTGGGGTTGCTCCAGAAGTGTAAAGACCAGAGACATCCTCTTGTTCTGGAGTCACTCTGCAGTGCCCAAGCTCACATCAGGAGCAGGCACTGTGCACATCCAGGAAGCTTGGTCTGGAGGGCAACAGGGGGAACATCATTGGATGTAGGTGATGCCAACACACTGAGTTTGTGGCCCAACTGCTCACCTTTCTCCCACAGGAGCTTTGGCCCCATCAGGCATTTCTGAGCATCACCAGGCAACAGGGCCTGCTGCAGCCACCACCACGGCAACCAAAGGAACAGCGGGGAGGAATCCCAGCCTCTCACTCAGGTAACAATTTGCACTAAACATTTGCACTACAACATCACAATTAATTCACTGTGCTGGGACAACAAATGACTCCCTGTTAAAGCAGCCTCCCTTGCATCCCCAGCATGTTTTCTGCCCAGGACAGAGAACATCCTGAGCTCTGAGGAGGGCGCAGAGGAACGTGGTGCTCTTTCAGAGATATCCTTGGCTGTTTTGTTGCAATTTTCCCAGCTCCAGCCTGGTGCCAGCCGAGGGAAGCTCTCACACACACACAGCTGTGAATTGGCACCTTCCCCCCATCGCCCTGCCACAGCACCCAATCGCTGTGTGGATGAGGTCCCTCCTGTGAAGCAGCTGCAGAGAGAAAGCTTCACAATAAACAACTGCAGCCGTTTGCAGACATCCGCCAAAACTTTTGGGGGATTTTTGCAGGGCTTTTCCTGTGCTCGGCTGCCTGTTCCTGTGCAGCAGTACTGTAGGCTGCACTGAAGCAGGGGCAGAGGCAGCCCTCCTCCAGCTTCCTATCGCACGCGTGCCGTGGGCATGAGAGCTGACAGGTTGTGTGAATGAAGAGGCAGTGTTTTAAACAACAGATGAGTGAAGATTACGCATTCAAACCCCGATCCAGTCATCCGTGGGCAATTAAGAGAATTAGATGTTAATGCGGAACGGGGGAAAGATCACACCTGAAGTGCCAATGAAGGGCTCTTCCCCCACCAGCCACCTGCCCAAGAGCTCCCCTACTTCTTTCCCATCCCTTACCGCCTTTCCCATCCAGCAGTGCCGCCCCGTGCTGCAGCCCGGCTGCTCCAGGAAGGCACTGAAGTCCGTCGTTCTGATCCTGCAGCAGCTCCAGTACTTCATCCTGGGGGGAGCAGGGCTGGCTGAGCATGGAGCCAGAGCCCACAGGGACAGCACTGCGCAGGTCACTCCCAGCCTGCGGCAGGGTGAGCTTGCTTCCCATCAAAGGATGGTTTCTTACCCCTCGTGGAAGACGGGAACACCAGGGTGGAAAGTACAAACCTCTGTGTTGCTCTCTGGGCCCTGGTAGATCTGTGGGCAAAAAGCAGAGGCAGCCCTTGGCTGTGCCTCCAGCGTGGCACGGCAGTACAGCTGGGCTTCTGCCCATTCCTGTGGTGGTGCCCACTGTCACCCCTTCACCACGGTGTGGCATCTGAGAGGACCACGGCTGGTGCCAATCCCTGCTCCGTGCCAACAGCATCCAGCTTCTGCTGGGTCTCATCCCCACTGCAACACCCCCACCGTGCCACCTCCCCACACAGAACAGGGCTGTCCAGCATCTGGCTGCTTTGGCCACTGCAGAAGACTGCTCTCATCACCCCTAAGGATGAGAAGGATGCTGATCTGTCCTGCCCCTTCTCTTTTCCAGACTGTGTCAATCCCATGTCCCTTGCTTCCCTCTCTGCTTCTTTCCAAGCATGCTGGCCTCCCTGTAGCACAAGCTTTGATGCTTCAGACCATCCCACATGGGGCGGCTTCAGGGCAAGACAGAACATGGGCTATGCTTCAGGAATTAAAAGCAGGCAGCAGTTATTCCATCCCCATTGTCAGAACAAAGGTCCTGAATACGTGCTGTACACCATTGCAAGCAATTAGCAGAAGTGGAACGCGGGTGTACCACTAATCCAGGAATTCAGATGCCTCTGGGAGGAACGTGGCCTGAAGTCAGCATGGGCAGCCACCTCCCCCTGCCCAGCAACCTGCCCTGCACACAGGGAAGGGGAGCAGCACAGCACAGTGATGCTGGATACTCACCGCCTTGCAGGCTGCGTTCTTGCAGGTGGTGCCAGCTCTCACCTGGGCAGCCGCCTCCCCTGCGAGGACAGCACAGCTTTGCTCAGGGACACACAGCACGCCCCGAGCCCTACCTGCAGCCCCCGCTCCAGGCTTGGTAGGAAAGACCCGCTGATGGCCGTCAGCTCATTGCTACCTGCACAGTCGCCCTTGGGCTCCTTGTTGTTGGGAGACAGGCTCAGTTTCTCCAGTGCTTGCTCGAGAGATCTGGATACTTTGATTGGCAGCAGTTGTCGTGGCTCATCAGAGCTGGAAAACAACAGCAACAGAGGATGAGTAGGTGTTTGTTTTTTCCCATGTAAGTGTTGCTGCCTTTCCCCAGGAAGCAGGCAGGGCAAGGCACGTGCACAAGCAGTGGTGTGGTCTGGCTGTACTGTCTGCTCAGCCTCCCTCACCTTGGTCTTTCCCGCTGCATCTTCTCGGCTGATTTTGGTCCTTGGACGATGATCTCTGCCATTGGGTTGGCCTTTGGCTTGTCTGAGGTCTCTTCCTGGGAAGGCTCAGGAGGCTTCTCCTTGCTGTGGAACCCCTTTGTGCATCCCTGAGCAGCAGAGACAAGCCTGATGTCTGCTTTACCCTTTCTAACCTGCTCCCAAATCCCATCTCTGACCTGGTGTCTCTGTGTCTTGCAGAGACCCTACACGAGGGCGGGGGTGTCTGCAGGGATTCCCAGGTGACAACCCCATGTGCAGTTTCACCAGGACCACCACAGGAAGGCCTCAGCTCCTTCATGCTGCAGCCAAGTGGCAGCAGGAGCCTCCTGCCCCTTCCTGGGCCTCCTCTCGCCCCCAGCACTGCTCAGACCCACAGCTGTGCCGGCAGTGGGGAAGTGCTGCGTGGAGGGGAGGTCCCAGCTGCTGTGCCACCGCTCTTCAGGAGGCAGCACCCAGGAGCAGACAAGAAAACCCAGTCCAGGAGGCATCAGCGTGAGCCACTCACCGGAATGGAGAGGAACTCAGAGAAGTCTGTTGTGCGCTTCTTGCAGCAAGACCAGCCCTGGGCACCGGGAGAAGACAAAACGGTTGGGGTGGATGATCCCGCTGGGCACAAAGTCCCAACCTGCAGCTGCAGTCATGCTCACCTTCAGGGCATCGTGGAAGATGGGGACGCCCGGGTGATACAGGCAGGAATCTGAAGAGAGGAAAGCACGCAGAGCCTTTTGTGAAGGGCAGTCCTGCCTGCGAGCTGCCTGTGCTGTCCGACAGCTCCTGAGCTGCCTCCTGTCCCCTGGCAGGCACGAGGCCGGCACACAGCAGCAGCTGAGGCTGCAGAGCAGGAACACATCAGGTACTCCAGCACACCTCGGTGTGAGGCAGAGGAACGTACTCACCCTCGGAGTTGTGCTCAGGATCAAACCTCTGCCCGCAGCCCTTGTTGTAGCACAGCAGCGCCATGGCTCAGGCAGGCACGCAGCGCCTTTCACTCCAACAAAAATCCCATCAATCTCATCCCCGTCCACGGTTTCCCCTCTGTTTCCCCGCAGTTTCCAGCACAGGGGCCGGGTGGTGGCTTTGCCTATCTTTGGAGGCAGCTGGAGGAGGTGGTTGGTAACCGGAGAGCCGGCCAAAGATGGACACGGCAGCTGACGGGGCACTGCTGTTATCTGCAGAGGCATTCGTGTCCTGCCCCCGTGCTCCAGCACACGCAGGCGCCCAGCAGAGGGGATGTGAGCTGTGGGGCTCCCCATGGGCGGGCTGAGTTCTGCCAGTGCCCACATCCCACCTGCATCTGTGCCATCACGCTGCTGGTGCTCAGCTGTGTGTGGTTGCAACACCTGAGCTGCTGCAGGGATGGCTCTCCGTTCATTTATCATGCAGAGACGCAGCTGAAAGTTTCCTGCAAAGGGAGAGACTTTCTAGGTTGAAATCCATACCGGTCCCTGCACGATCATCTGCTGGACACAACGCGTACGGCCCAAACATCCTCAGTGCAGGGCCTTGTGCGACCCAGGGATGGAATCTGTCCCTGTCTGCTATCTCTGCCTGCACCATCATCATAGACATGTGCTAAATGCTCCCCATACTCAGGGGAGGTTTGCTCAGGCTCCTTGCTCCCATCCTGGGACCTGGGATTTCCTCCTATAGACACGAAGTCCTCTTGAGCTGAAAGATTTTACTTAGTTCCTACAAACGTCTGAAAGAAAAGTGTGTTTTTGTTGTTCCTGTTTGTAGAAACAGGCATTTCCTGGGTGCTTCGGAGCACACAGCAGCCACCCAGCACTTCTGCTGTGGAACTGGCCCTGAAAGAAGCCCTTGGCACAGCCCCAGAGTGTGCCCTATGAGCAGAGCAGCATAACCGCCCTCTGAATAACGCAGTGCTCTGAGGGGCAGGGACCCGAGGAGCACATAGAAAAGCCAAAGGGCTCACTTCGTTCCCAGGAAGCCAAGCAGAGCCCTGTGACAGGGAATGCCCAGCCAAGGGGCTGTGTGCTGCTATAGGGTTTCAGGTCTCCTTGTCCTTTCTGTGAGCTTCAGTGTGGCCGCAGCTGTTGCCGTCCCGTGCCAGCAAAGATTTGCAGCTCAGGTTACTTCATGGAGGAAATGCTGAGGCGATGCTGGGGCTGAGCACTGCGGAGGGCCTGGCAGTGGGCAAGCAGAGCTCCCCAGCACCAGCAGAGCAGCAGCTGGGCCGTCCCTGTGCGCCTGCAGGAAATCAGGAGCGAACCACAGCACTGCTCCATCCTTGTTGCACAGCTGTGGGTCAGCAGGGGGGGGGAAAGCGAGGCTGCCGGAAACCACATGTGCACAGAGACACCAATGAGCTGCTGTGTCTGCAGCTCCCGGCCCAGCAAGGATGAGACCAAAGGTTGCAGTGTGGGGACAGGCTGAAGACACCCATTGCTAAGCAAGGATGGGCCGCAGGGGTCCGTAGCAGAGCCGGTGCCTTTGATGTGCTTTATGGATGATGGCAGGAAGGAGATGAGAACAGACGATGGCAAAAGCACAGCATGAGGCTGCGCAGCCCTCATGGCTCCTCCAGCTCCGAGCTGGGGCTGTCAGCAGCCGTGGCCCCGTGGTGCTGCAGCCCATCCTGACCCGGAGCACAGCTCCAAGCACAGCACAACTCCCTGGGCTGGCCGGGCCTTGGGAGCAGCATGCAAGGAACGGCCAGCTGGGGATTACAAATAAAGCCCCTTTAGCTGATGTGCAATTAATTTGATAGAGCAGAGAACAAAAAGGAGAGAGAGAAATCGAGCAAATCGTTTTAAAAATCCTTTTTTTTTTTTTTAAATCACCAAAAGGAGAACAGTTTGCCTGGGACTGGTTGCCCTCGTGCACAGTGCTACCAGTGGTCTTCAAAACCAAAGGTGCTATGCGTGCTGAAGCAACAACACCAACTACAGATGGTGATCTGCATTGTTTGGAAAGCTAAAGGAGAAAAAAGTTTGTAGCTTTTGCAACAAGTACCTTGCAATAAGTAGCATAGGGCACAGCTATAGCTGAGGTGTCCAGCACAGAGCTGCAATTTTGAGCTTGCAGTACTGAGCATGAAAGCAAATGCAGCCTCGCGAGGCAGTGGTGTGCCAGAAAGGAAAAACTCCAGGCACAGATCTATGGGTGACCTTCATCTCCAACCATAAACACTGTCCTGCAGCTGGGCTGTCACCCCAGCACTCTGCTCTCACTAGGTGAGCATGCAGTGATACTGGGGCAGACTTTTCTTGCTGTATTCCAGGCTGATTCTCGCTCCCCAACGTAGTTCCACCTCCTCAGAGGTGAGCTGCTGCTTTACTCTAGTGCTCACTCACACAGACACTATTCCTCACCAGAAAGCACAGACAGTCCTTAGCAAGGAACTGCTCCAAAAAGAATCAAGTGCAGCCTGAAGATTCACTTTTCTCACCCTCAGCTGGCACCCAGCATGAAAACCTTCCTTTGGAGGGTGCTGTTGCCTTGAAGCAGTCCCTACAAGCATCACACACAGCAGGGAGGCCAGGCGCAGTGATGGAAGGAGGCCCCAAAGGCACAGCTCCGTCAGGGCTGAGCTGCACTGCTTTCTTGCTCTCCTTTCAGTCTGCTCTGGCTCTCACAGCCATCAAACATAGGGAAAAACAAGGGGAGAATGGTGGCTCCGTTCAGCACGGCCACAGGAAACACCTTCTTTGGAGTTACGAAGGTGGTTCATGTGATAAAACCACCATTTGTGGCTTTCTATAATAAAAGGCAGCTTCTGGCGAGCTCCTGTGCGTCAGGAAAAAGAAAAGGAAATTGCTGTGTATCTGATGTGACAAAAGTACTGGTTCCAGCTGGATTGCCCAGATACACTTTGAATGCACTCATGCAGTATCAGTTCGTGATGGATCGAGGGCTGTACGAGTGCATTTTAACCAAGTTGATCAGGACCAACAGCAAAAGGCAGCGGTATCTCCTGTGACAGTTGAAATACTTTCTGTCTGCGGCTATTTAACAGCCAATGATCTGCAGAAGCACGCAGTCAGACACACTCTTCTGCTCACTGGCTGCATTTCAGCACATCTGGGCAGTGCTCAGACAGAACCCACTCTGTAGAGCTGCAGCAGCTGCCTTACCCAAGCAATGGCAGCAGCAGCGCTTCGGCAGCTCCAGGGTCTGGAATTGCTCCGGAGCGATGCAGCCCCTCTTGTTCCTGCACTCTGCCTTCAAAGCTTCTGCACTGCAAGCAGTCCATGGTGCCATTCCTTCCTACCGAGTGCCTCTGCAAGCAGCAATAATGAATTCCTTTATGATTCCCTTCCCAGATCCTCAGTGCAGGTTTTCAGTTTCTTCCATCTTAGATGAGAGCAGCTCTTCCCAGCACTCAGTGGATGCAGCTTTAGTTTCTTCCTTTGCTGTCAACAGATCCTCCATTTTCACTGAAACCTGTATTAGATGAACCTCGAGCAGTGCTAAATCTGCCCCCCTTTCTGTTACATCCATTTTCTCCCTTAATAACCTGCCCATCCTTACCTGACACTTGAGGCAGTGGCTGGAGCACCCACATACTTGAGCTCTGTGGCTTCCCTAAGGATCACAGAATGGCCAGGGTTGGAAGGGACCTCAAGGATCAGAAGCTCCAACCCCCTGCCACATGCAGGACCACCAACCTCCACATTTCACAGCAGCCCAGGCTGCCCAGGGCCCCATCCAACCTGGCCTTGAACACCTCCAGGGATGGATGGGGCATCACAGCCTCTCTGGGCAGCTGTTCCAGCACCTCACCGCTGTCTGTGAAGAACTTCCCTCAATACCCAACCAAGGCAGGGACTTCTTGCACAACTCACTAACAAACCAAGCAGAACAGGCAGAAGACTGAGACAACGCACACAGTTGAGTGTAACTTCACAGCTTCTTTTTACTATTTCACATTTTGGAATCAAAATATCTATTTTCCAGCCACTCTGCTTTAGGGAAAGCCTGCCAGTGACATTCCAGCCAGGAGGCAAAGAGCAGAGGCAGCTCCTCCACGAGGAGAGGCATTCTAGCCACATTTTTGGGGCTCCACTCAAGCAAAGACAGGTGAGAGCAGGTAAATCATAACCCCTCTCAGAAGTGCCATTAAATGCTGTATCACCCAAGCATGCCAGATGCTCATGCTGCTGCTGTCAAACATGGAAATAAGCAATGGAAACAAGAGCAGCAGCTGTAATCTCTCTCCAATCGTTTATCAATCATGCAATTACAGGCTAATTACAATTAATCAAGTGACAGGCGTAAACCAATGAAAGCCTTCAGAACAACCATCTCACCCCTATTTTAACAGGGCACCTACAGGCCAAACCTGAGTTTCTAAAAGCTGTTGCCTTGGTACCGCATTCATCTGACAAATGCTTTCATCTTCCCTATTATTTTTAAGTCTGTAAGGCAGCTCCTCGTGCTCTAAGGCTGCAACTCTCCCACACTTCTCCATCTAAAGCTCTTCCTAAGCTCCCCTCTCTGCTCTCCCCTCTCCCCTGCCTCAACTCAAGAGCTCTGACTAAAGAGCAGAGGCAGAGAGGACTCCTGGCCCTGCAGATTCCCTCATGCATTACACAACATCAAACACGCCGTCGCCACTGGCAGTGACAAGAGCTCAGCTTCCTGCCCCAAGCAGAGGTCAGAGCCCTACAGAAAGCCCTGCGTGCTGCTCAGGCTCCGACGTGGCACAAACAGCAGCGCCCTGCTGTCAGACACGGACTGAACGCAGTGCTGGTGATGCAACAACAAGTCTCACGTTCAGCTTCTGTGCCTGCACTGCAGCCATCACCCACATGCATCACAGCTGCTCTTATTTTACTCTTCAGTGCTGAAGTTCTCATTCCAAAGCACAAACAAAACTCATTGGGTGACGAGGAGAACTGTTAGAAAATTCTCAGGGCTTAAAACCCCATTTATTGACCAACGCAGGATTTGCTCCATCATCTGATGCTTGACTTACTTTAATCCACACACATGCATTTTAGTGAAAAAAAAAATACCCCAAAAACAGAAGAGACAGCACAGCAGATAAAAAAGGCTTAAAATCCACTTTAATAATGCATTCCTGTAACATTCCTCAGACAAACTCAAACTTGTTAGTGGGACAATTACAGCTTGTGTTCAAACAGTTTACACTAAATGAAAAAATCTTGTAGTACTTCTACACAAAAGACAGG